TTTATTAATTTAAAAAATTATAACATATTATTCTTTTTGCTAATGTCTGGATTATGACTTTAATGCACGTACAATTCAGTATGCTTTGTTACTAGAGGCATGCTTGTATAATAAGGGTAATATACATCGAAAGTTTTGTACAGTGGTGGAAGCATTCTTGCTCTTGTGTTTAATAAACACTATATGATTTAAATACCATTCAAAAGCAGGGAAAGTTAATTGTTTGTTGCACCCCCATTATGAGTTGTCTGTACTTTTTCCCTTATTTTTAAGCTTAATTTTTATTTGCACTCTGTTTTTCAGTGTTAAATGGTTTAGTGTAGTTGTGCAATATTATTAGCAAATGTTTAATTCCTGTGTATTTTGTTTAATAGTTAATGTTCTTTTAATATTTGGCTTGACTTCTCAGTAGGTCTGTAAGATGATTTTTTTTCTCTCCTACAGGAAATTGTAGAATAGATCTACAGAACACAAATGAGTTATTCTTTGATTTAGTGAATTAAAACTGTTTGCATGTAGTTTTCAGATTTGATATATTAATTCCTCCTTTTGATTTCCAATTTTATTAATGGACAAAAGTGAAGCATTGTATTTATTTTAAGGAGGTCCCATCAGTAATTATTCTTGTTTAATTAGTTTAATGGATTTTTAGACATCAGTCAAGTCACGCGGTAGCAATCAAATGAATCTTTGCTGCTGACGTTAATTTACAGGAGTCAACAGGACAAAACTTCACGACATGATAGCTGATCTGGGCGATGATGAGATACCCCACATCCCTTCAGGAATCATTAATCAATCTAGGTCACCCTCTTCTAGAATGACTGATCATGAAGGTGCAAGAGCAGAGGAAGGTACAAAAAATTCAGCTACTTATTATATTTCAGGAGATTTCTTTTAGAAAGCACACACTGTCATTTACTGTCCCCTCTATAAAGCTCAATGCAATTGCAGATTGCCACATTATTATTTTATTTGCAATTCTTCCCAAATGGTTTTATGAAATATTACTTGTGTTTCTGTGGCTTATTGGAACTCGCCATTATTTCATAAGTACCTTTAAACAACTTCATGTACAGCAGTGTGTTCTGAAACTACTCACTATTAAATCCCTGTTTGCAAACCCCCTGTTAGCAAAACCTTTTACAAATAGGGTGTTACTGTTTGAAGGGAAAAAAGGTGAGTATTAACATTTGATACACAGTTTGCATTTAAAACTGAAATTTAAAAGTGGTTTTTTAAATTATGAGACTAATTTGTCTCTTGAAACTCCTCAATTTTCGTGTACTCTTTTTTAAAATTCTTTTGTTCTATATCTACAAGTGTACAAAGACACTATTTCTTTACAAAGTATTGGTTTCAATTTTAGGATTACCTTAGGCAATGGAAGTTAGTGGCAAACTGGTATCCAGGTAGTCCAAATTCTTGTATTAAGTTTTAAGGTTTTTGTTTTAAAGGAATTATTTTCTTTGTATTGACTTTGAGATTAGAATATCGTTATGTAAATTCTGTCTTCCACTCAGAACATACTCATTCAAAATACTCATCTGAATTCAGATGTAGCTCCTTTATGATGATCTTTGACCCATAATTGTTGGCATGGTATCAGCTATGCCAGAAGTGGAAAGAATTTGTTATGACTGATCCTGATAATCTGTTGGTTCTTCCTGTTCTTCCTTCATTCCTGCCCGCACAAATGCCTGTTACCAGGCAAGCAGAAAAATAGAAATTTTGCAGGGAATTTTTTTTTTTTGTTGATCTTTCAAACTATTATTTTACAAAAGCATTTGTCTTCCCACCTTCTCTTTTACTGCTTTCCTTTTCATCTTTGTTTTTATTTACAACTTAAAGATGAACCAGTATCAAATTTAGCTGTGGAGGGCAACTGAGAAAACGCACTGGTGAAGTTCCACTTTCTGAAACTTGGGGACATACATTTAGGTTTAGCATTTACATGCTTTAGATTGCCTTTTAGCCTTGATAAGGTATTAAGGGCATGTGACCCTCCAGTTCCAGTTCCCTCATTCTGTCTAAGGCTGTTATTCTTAGCCCATACACGTTGTGCAAAGGAACACAGATGTTCATTGTTAAGGACAGGCCATATAGCTATTGTCTCTTTTAGAGACTTTACATATAAAATATTGTTGGACAAAACAACCTTTCTGAAGAAATAGATACTAAATTTGAATTTGTTAGGGACTGACTTTTTTTGCCTGATTCCTGTAGCACAATCACTGTGCTACACTTCAAATAAAGATTGTCTACACTATTTTCAAATAAACTGTGTTTTCAGGATTAACCCTTCTGTTTCTTTTGTAGCCTTTATCTTTTTTTCTTCCTGCTCTATGAGAAAAGAACCAGGAAAAACTTGGTCTCTGAAGTAATTGAGGGGCTAATTGTTACTCATTTCAGGATTTCACAATTTATGTTCACCCAGAGAATGTTTGCGATCTTATTTTTATTTCTTGCTTCATGTAAAGTATTTTTTGTATCACCTTTTATACTCAGTTCAGACACTTTCACTAAGAAATCAGTCCTTAGAAATTCTGATCTCATCTAATAAGCATGGATGACTGGATACCCCCTCACCTGCCAAAAAAACCCAACAAACCCAAACCCTAAAACCAATAATAAGGCAAATAGATGGGAACATGGAAAATAATGAAGTATTTTCTAGGAATATGGCTTTTTCTGAAATATAGGTATTTTGGAATAGACTGTCAGATGGAGGAGTTCAGTAAAATACTAACAAAAATGAAAAGCTTATTCATATAACAGCATGGTAAGCTATTTTTGTCTGTTAATTTAATGTAGGGTTAAGACCTTTGTTTGGATTGTGAATATTTTAAAAAGATAATATTTTTATGCAATTAAAAGAACAGCAGTCTTTATTCTTAGGTAGCTGATACTCTTAGATTCTCACTTACAGTTTTGTTGCCTGTGCTAATAAGGTTACATTTTTTTTAATAGTACAGTAGTTCTCAAGTGTTAGAACTGATTTGATTCTTGAGAAATGGGTTGTGTTTTTTGTTGGGTTTTTTTTAAATCTGACTGTGCTGGCTCCTCTTTGCATAGCCATTGCAATGATGCCAGATATGTATAACTGTACACCTGCTCCTGGTTACTGTTCTTCAGCTGCAGTGGAACGTAGCTGGGTTACCGTTCAGGTAGTGGTGATAATAAAGTTGCATGTTCAAGAAGGAATGTGCTGATTATTGGTCCGCTTGTTTGGAACTATTTTTGTAAGACAGAAAGCAGGATATGGGTGTTTTTTAAATCTGGAAACTTTATTTTCTCTGAGTTTCGAGGTTTTCCTGAGGGGATTAGAAACAAAGGGTGGCATTAAAGTGAGACTGTAACTCTCTATTCCAAGTCAGTGAAATCTAATTTAACCTATTTTGTGCATGTTTGCACTTAGCTGAAGTTCACACAAAGCTAAAGTTTAAGCCCTCTACCTAACAAGTGTCCCATTTTCTGCACAGAAAGGAATACTAATAAGTAAAACCAGCTTCTAAAATATGCTGAAGTATTACAATGTTTAAGCCTTTATTCCTGTTCCTCACTACTAAAGTGATATTTGTGGATAGGAGGAAATATACAGAATTGTTGGATAGTGTAAAGAATATGGGTGAATATTTGAAACTATTATTCAGATGTGAATTCAGAATGAATGGTTATATAGAATTTGTACTAATTCTAAATTATAAATAACATCAGTGTTACATTTTAATTTGGGGAAGGCATGGCTAGCTAAGATAAGTTGAGTATATTTTAAAATTTGAATCCAAAATCATGCTGAGACTAAAGAGGGAATTAATGAATAACAGATTTATTTTTTTTTTTAATCATCTGAAAAATCATAGGAAGTGTTTTGCAGGAGGCCTTTAGCCTGAGAAATAAAAAATACTTACACATGCAAGTAGAGATATTTGAATAGTATAAAGCACAGAGACTTACTTGGAAGTGGGTAGAAGGCAGATAATGTGGTGTAGTGAATGAAATATTTAGCTGAGAATTTGGAGACCTGGTATGTACATTTGACATTGCAATGTAAAGTTATGTCAGTCAAGTCGCTTGTCAATGGTATTGAACATCTCTGTAAAGTAAGTTGAAATCAAATTACAAAGCCTGATACAAGAATTGTGTATTTAATATATGTATGTGTGTGTTTGCACATGTGTGTGTGTCGTCATGCTCTCTCTTTCTTTTTAGTTGGGGCAGCATGTAATATGTAAAAGTTTGGTTTTAAACTCTGCTTTGCTTTTAAGTGATGAATAATGCAGTTTTTAATCAGTTTGAATTATTACATTGAGACTTAAAAAAAATGTTTTGTTCTTTGTAGCTGAGCCAATAACGTTTCCACCTGGAGGAGGCAAGTCATTTATTATGGGTTCTGATGATGTGTTGTTAAGTGTACTGGGCCTTGGAGACCTTGCAGACTTGACAGTAACAAATGATGCAGACTATAGTTATGATGTAAGTGCAATTTCATTTTAAAATTCTTTATATAGCTTAATCAATAATAGTTGGGTTCTCTCTCACACCCTGAACATTACAGATGCAGAGAGCAGACGTTTCATTAGTAAAAAAACTACTACTTAGGAGGAGGAGGGAGCAGCTTGAGAATGGGCTAAGTAACTTAAGTAATCAAAAACAAGTGACGTGACCTGTTTGTTTTCTGCTTAGATACTTTAATTCAGATTTTGTCACTGGGGGAATGTTTTATGACATAAAATACAGATTGACATCTTAAAATGTATTTTTTTACCAAAAATGGCAATTACATATTAATAATGGAGTATTGAGAAGACATGGCATAAAACACTAATATTGATACTGCCTTATTTTTTTTTTCTCTTGCCTTTATGTTTATGTAGTGTTAACAGCATGGACTATATATGGTAGTATACTTCAGATGTAAGCTTTTAGAATGTATTTTTATTATAATACAGAGTGTTCTGACATTCCTTTGATAATATTCATTAAGCTACTACCAATAGTGTTATGTGAATGGTTCATTGGCTAGTAACATTTGATGGCTGGTTAGGGAAGTGTTCAGGTAAGTCTTACATATTGTATTGTATTTAAAGTGTCCTGTGGTTTTGGGTTGTGGTTGGGTCTCTTTTTTGTTATTACTGGTGAGGTACTTCTCTGGTTTGTTTCTATAATTTTTCAAGTTAGATACATGGTGTTTATACTTGAAACCATTACTAGGAATTTTATTAAAATCTTAAAATCTGCAAAGTGAAGAAATAAATTATTTATAGCTTTTTTACAGGGTCTGAAAATACTTGTGTGTGACTAAACACCTTTTTTTTTAAAAAAAAAAATCATAGTTGTCCTTCAGTATCTGTAACTGGTAGGAATATTAATTGCTGTAATGAAGTAAGAGCTAATACTTACATTTTTACTTTATTCCAGGATGTTATATGATAGTTGTATTTCCTGAATAACAAATGAAAATGTTAATTATCCATCCTTCTATTACTAGACTGTATAAAAATAAATGAAAGGATTTCTTAAAATATTTTCAGTACTTTCTACATTTGTATAATATATTTTCCTATTCACAGTAATGGTTAGTCTTCAGGTTGTCTGTTTCATTTCAAATGACATAACACATCTGGGGAGTCAGATAACTTGATACCAGAGTTCAGTTTCAACTCTGCATCTTAACTTTCTCAGGATTATGCCTTCTGTCTAGCTAAATCTCAATGTAAAATGTGTCAGACCTGACAATCGTGCAATTGTTTAGAAAATTATCACTTTTAAAAAAAGTTTCAATGAAATCTATGAACAACTAGACTTCAAATAAAAGTTTTTCAAATGCTTCAATTGTAAATGCTTTAGGGCAGCTTAAATTTGGAACTAGCTACTAACTAGTAGTAAATTCCTCTGGGAATTATGAAGTTGAACAGTCTGGAGCTTTGTTTTACGCAGTGCTGTATTTACTTGGTTGACTAACTTCTAAATGCTCCTGTCTGTATCTTCATCGAAGAATTAAGAGAAGTTTGGTTTAATGCTAACTTGCATGAGGAAAAATATTTATTTTAAAGCTGTTTAGAATCCCAAATCAAGCTTCTGGACTTGTTAGATGATTTTTTTTTTTTTTCTGGAAGTTTTATTCCCATTTTATTTACAGTAAATATGGGACATCAAAAACCTAAATGGTGTACTTTCAGTAGTGAGGCAGCTACACTTGTGAGATTAGATGACAAATTGTTTTTGCCAGTTGTGTTGTGTTCTGTGTCTGTCCTATTCCTGAGTTTAGAACTTTGGAGCATCAAGGTCTGGTGGGTCACGCTTGCCCTTCTTTAAATTTATGCAGTGACAACATTTGGCTCTTACAGCACATGTTCGTAACCACTGAATTTCTGATTATTTTTTCTTTTAAAAAACTTAAATATTGGTTAAGCACCCTTCTTTCTTCTTTTGCCCACCAAAATCCCAAGTCAGCCTGTACCCTGGAGAATTAATGCATGGACTAATTAGTATGGTGATTCCTTAGGGCTGGTCTATAATACTCTATTTTACATGGCTTCATTCTTGGTGGGCTATTTTTAATGTCACAAGAATGATTATCAGTCACAGTTAATAGCATAAATTCCAGTAGCTGTACAACTCCAGTATTAGCAGAACACTTTATATCTCCATTATAAATCATTATTATCTGTTGTTCTCCAGTTAGCTCTCAATTGAGAATTACTGTATGCATAGAAGGAACAAGAAGTTATTGGGCTGAAATGATAGCAGTCTGGAAGAACAGTGAGAAGCAACATCACTATTGTTGTACTTTTTCTTAGGCATTTTTGGTTGGTTTTAGCTACTGTCAGAGGCCGATGTTGAGCTAGAAGTATCTTAGATCAAAATAATGCTGTCATTAATATGTTCTCATGCCATACTTTCTATGCTAAAGATATTGCAAGAATGTGTTTGATGTAGAAGAAGGAA